AAGGTTCCATGCAGGAAGAGGACTAAATAGTAATCATAACAGATGGTACTTTGGGATATTTAAAAAAAACGCATTTACTAAGAGAAAGAAAAGGTCAGAATCCTAAATCAGTCAACAAGAACAAAAAATTTACTTTAAGAGTCCATGAACTCCAAAAATCTGGTAACAACTGAGCCACAGGACTTGGCCAATTGCCTGATTATAAGGATGAGAGCAAGGGAAGTTAAACGAGTTCTGTTTTCAGCCTATGGCTTTGAGACTAATGCAGCCACAGCAGGAAGGTTCACGGGACAGGTGGACCAAGGGGAGAAGTAAAGCAAAGCGGGGAGGTACGTTCTATATTGGATTTATTGACCTGAGGTAAGTGGCAGCCAGTAGCTCATTAATTCACTGGGGAAACGGGAGAACGACGGGCCATCTGAAGTGGAAAACTGCCCTCTAAAAAAGGAACTAAGACTCCTCACAGCGTCTAGGTTTTTTCTTTTGCATTTTGAACATTCTGCTTTCTGCACAGCTGCTGATTTTCCCGGCCCAAATGAGGACTTTAAAGGATGGAGGCAGGCAGTGTCTTGGAGCAAGAGCCTTGATGAAATCTATGGCCCCTCTCCCCAGAAAAATGCATAAACCGCAAATCTTGCTAACGATTTTCCAAAGGCCATGGACCTTCTGAAACCCTAAGGGACCCACAAACCGCAGGGTGTTGTTATTGTTTTTAAAGCATGGTGTGGAAAAAACCAGAAAGGAGAAGAGGGCTGGGGAAAAAGAGTGAGTACCTGCCCAGGCCGGTCCACTCCCTTTTTCCTTCCAGAAACTAGGGGGTAAGAAAGCCCAGCAGAGGCAGCGCAGGTCTTCGGGTTTCACACCCTCCGCTAACGAAAAGAGGAACCGCTTTCATCAGACACAACTGCCACAAAACTAAGACTTTTCTGTAGTGGTGCGAATGAGTATATACTAGGCAAAGAATTATTTGTAAAGAAACACCGATGCAGCCCTGATGAAAAGGTCCCGTGCTCTGTAGAAAACTCTCGTAAGCACTAAGCACCCTACTCTCCGTGCCACCACTACAGAATTAGCCTATTCGGGGGAGAGTGCAATCTTGTAATTCCTGAAAAGGACCACACCGTCAGGCTGCGGGGTGATGAATGCATTTAAACAAGACGCGAAGAATAGTAAGTTCTTCCAGGTTTTTTTTTTTACAGACACAAGATGCACCCTCAGGAGAAATTTAACAACTGTCTATGAATCTTATACCAGGTAATGGCAAACACTGTAAAGAATGTCATCCTAGGAGGATATAATTTAATACGGGATTTATCAAAGGACTGCCCTATTTTTAACAAGCATATTCAGCCAGTGATATGCCCACGTTTAAGTGTGAATCACTGCTTCTATAATACAAGGGTTAAATGAATTAGATGATCCCAATTCTCTGCATGCAACTTAATTTTTGTCAGGCCACCACTAGCAAGAGCCTGAAGAACAAAGCATCAGCCTCATTTTAAATAATGTTTTCTCAAGGTCTGCTAAGGGGAACTATCAAGAAATGGAAATCTGGAGATAGCACAGGAACAGATCATGCAGTAATTTACAAAGCTAAAGGGTAGTATTTAATTCCGTTACCAAAACAGATTGATATTTCTTAAAATTCCTTTAAGATCTTTAAAAAGGGTATATTAATATTTGAAAAATAATCAAATATCTGCCTGACACACCTTTGAAAAAAAGTAGCTAAGATAATAAGCTTCAGAAACATCGTCATGATCAGGAAAGTCACCATGTACTGAATATTTGTTTGCTAGGCATTTTATTTACATCATCTCATTTCATACTGTGAAACAGGCACTATCATTCCCACTTTCTATATGTGAAAATTAAGACTCATACGGCTAAGGCACGCACTCTGGGTCTCTCAGTCGATACACGGAGGTGGGACCCGAGTTCAGTTTCACACGACCCCCAGAGCGGGGCTGCTGTCTACGGTGCCGGTGCCACGTCCTGGCGCACCTGGACACGGCCGTATTTGTGAGACTCGGTCGGCTGGAGGGCTCGGAGAAAAGGATATGTATTTTCTATATATTATAAAATCATGACATGAAAAATAAAACACAAGGTAGTACAGATGACGTTAAACACTAATTGGTATAAACCTTCCAAGTTAAATATTTCAATATGAAATCCAGAAAGTTTAGAGAATCATATCAAAACATAGCATTTCAACTGTTTGATAAAAACTTATAGAAATGATTTAAAATTTCAAAACTATTTAAAAAATTCGCAAACAGCACACTTGTATGCAATCCTATGCACCGCACTCGAGTTGGGAGGCTTTGCAAAATGTAATTTTGTCTTTCTATAGAATATTATGATTGAATGCTAAACTGGCATTATCAAGATCCTCCCAATAACAGATCTAAAGGAAATTCAAACCAAAAGTAATCAAAGAATTTTAACACTGAAGTCTTCCTGAACTGATTCAGCCCCATTAGTTTCTTAATCTGATTTCACAGTACCTGTAATCTATAACATTCATTTGACTTAATAACAACAAAAATAGCTGTGTTCTACTTCACAGTATCATACTCAACCCTCAGAGCAATCCTATGAAGTACCTCTATTTTCTCCATTTTAAAGATGAGGAAACTGAGGCAGAAACTGCATAAACTTTCCCAAAGATATAGCTGGTAAATGGGAACTAGAATTTGAAACAGTCTGACGTCACAGCCCGTGTGGTTAATCACTATGCTAAACTACATCCCTGCAAGGGAGAAAATACAATATTTAATGAACACCTACTATGTGCCAGGAGAGAGAAGGGCAAGTAAATAGATCTCAGCTTAGACCATGTTCAACAGCTTCACAGTGATGAAGGAAAAATAACTTACACATACATCAAAAGAGGTATTCTACACCAAAAAGAAAATTCTTTGTATACTGTGATGGGTGCATTTTGCTTACAGAAATAATAGGGAAGAAAACTTGAATTTCATATATGTGTTATGATATGGTTCAAGCAAGAGCATTCATATCTGTAACCTATTTAAATTTGCTGATTAACTTACTCAAGCATGGTTTTTTAAAAAAATCTTACTTAAAACAACAAAATGGATAAAAATTAAAAGCAAATGCTTTAGTACTTGTATTTTCACTCTGCTTTTCAAGTTCCCTAAGTCATGATGTGTTTCATTTTGTTTTTAATTAAATGCACTATTTATAAAGCCCTATATAAAGATTTTTGTAGATATTTAGATAAGTTCTGCTTGCTCAAGTTCTGCTTGCCAAATCCTGCCACCTGGAAGAAAACCTCAGAGTTTACAACTGTATTACACAGGCCAGTGTCCTGAGGGGATCCCTGAGGGTCGATGGAAATCGAAGCACTCACAGAAGAGGAGATATACCTTTAATTTTACAACTAATCGATCCATACTGACAATGCTAATGCCTTGAGTATTGTGGTTTTTATGAAACACCTGAAAGGCTTCATGGAGCCGTGCCCAACGTTAACTGTAAAGAGCACCTACTCTGTGCCCGGGGACCGTGCGTGTCCATAAATGACGCTGGTTATAGAGAGTGGCTGTCTAGAACTACGACTTGAATTCATGCTTTCTGAAAGACCAGGTACTCAAACTGAAAGCTCCAGCTCCAATGCGTAACTTTCCTCTCCATCCAAAAGCTGCTGCCAGAGCTTCTGCACTCCACAAACCCAAGCAGGTTAACATGAAGAGAGTACATGGGCGCCCAGCACATCTTGGGGTACAAGATGAGGTTACGGGAGAGCACCCCTCCTAAAGCAACTTTTTTTCAAAAATCAAATGTTTTAAAAAGGAGAGTTCGGCTAACAGAAACCATTACTCCTACCTACTCTTCTCCAACAGATCCCTAGAAAATACTTAAGAGTGAAAAAGAGTGGCTTGATTTATTGGTAAGCTGATGCTTGGGTAGGCCTCTAGACACCAACCTCTCAAAAATACTAGAACAAATCACACTGAGTAAAATACACTGGACTCTACCTAAAAGCCACTTAAAACAAATGTGGGGTAAAATAAACAGTAATTCCAGAAGCCGGTGTTTTTAGTTTGAAGAGACCAAAAGGATCAAAGAGCTAGCCAGAAGTCCCTCACGGTCTTTACAGTAAATGCATCCAGTTCCGTAATTTATCCTAAGATAACTCTATTCCCACCGCACATCACCCCTAACAACTATTTAGCAACTACCAACGTGTAATTTATTGTCCGCTACGTCTTTTGCCACAAACCTCAAGCAAGGCAGTCCTTACTCAGCTTACACTATCTCCCCTTTATAAAAACAAGGGGAGGGGTTATAAAACCTTAAGAAAATAAAAATGATAGAAGAAGGTGGAAAAGTACAGAGAGCCTCGGCAACCAAGCTCTTTTCCCTTACACCTGAGCACCTGTCGTTTAGCTCCACCACACACCTTCATGGTATTGGATCAGCCGGGGTTCTTCCACCTTACAAGCAGTTCAAAATGCCCACTCTCCACTAAAGGACAGGGTCCTCCTGTGGCCCCTCTGGCCCAACCCCTCCGTTTATATTAATCGTTCAAGCCACCCAGCTCTACCCTGTCCCAAAGTGTCACCACGCTCCAATCTCGCAAAAGCCATTGTACAAACCCAACACTCTACTCCATCCTCCTGGCTACCGACACACTCCAACCTCTCGCAAAACCTTCGCTAATATCCTTCCTTTCCTTTATGAGCTTTTCCCGTATGCCTAACACAGTCTCAACGTCCTATTTCCCCACACTCCCAAACTCTCTACGCTAAATGCCAGTTCCGGCACGGGGTCACACCCTCTCCAGCCGAATTCTTACAACCTGAAAACCCCACCCCCTCCGCACGTCCTCCGGAGCCTCTCCACCCCAGGCCCGTCACGCCCTCCCGCCCCTTCGGGATCCTTTCGGCCAGCCGGCCGGAGCCCCTCCAAAGTCCCCAAGTACCGAAGTCCTCCCGAAAGGGCCGGCAGCCCCGCCCCCAGGCCCTCACCGAGTAGCAGCAGCTTCACTTCTTTAGCCGCTTTCTCCCCGTCCTCACGCAAGTTGCGGTCGATCATCTTACTCCGCTCCACCGCCGCCTTGTCTTCGGCGCTCAACGTGCAGCCCATGGCGGCGGCGGGAGAGGCGACCGGGCCCGGGCTCACTCACACACCGCGAGGACGGCGGTACGACGGGCCGAGACAACGTCTACTGCTGGGCGGCGGCCCTCTCAGTCAAGTCCAGGAGCGCCCGGAGAAACCGGATATCCGGCGTTTACGCCACTTCCGGCAACGCCCCGCGGCCGTTACTGCTAGAACTTTTCTAGTTGGGGTAGTGGTGGTGCATCCGGAAGCGGAAGTACGGGGAGAGGGATGGCCAAGCCTGGCGGCGGTTCGGCGGAGTACCCAGGTCCTTCGCAACCGGCACAATTAGAGCTACTCAGCATTAGGCCCCTTTTATGTTTTCGGCGGCGTTGTTTAGAAACTTGTAGAAAACCGGAGACCGGCTTCGTCAGTTCATGGCGCCCTTCCCGGGTCACACAGCCCTGCTTTGGATGAGGGTTGGTGGGGGGATTCCCAGTAAGAGCCCACAATGCGCACGGGAATTTCTCTTGGGACTTTCTCACTGGCCAAACCCCTGGTCCCTGCCCAAGTGTAAGACACGTTATTTGCCGGGGTCTACTCTGCTCTATCCATGGGATGGGAACAAACTTCACATCTGAGATCTGTGAGACCGACCGTGCCCCAGGACTTCGGCGATCCCTTTCTGCCATCTCGGACCCAGTCGCTGGTCCTTGTGCCGTTAAGTGCAAATTTCTTTGGGCTTGAGAGTTGCCCGGTTACTTTGTTGTTAGCAAAAGACCACTCGAAATCGCTGGCAGATACTGCTACCTGAAAGATAAGCGTGTAGTTCCACCATAACATTTCCAGACTGCCTCTCCCAATGTAAGCCAGTTTTAGCGCTCACAGATGGTTCTGCGTTAAGGGTTTAGGCTTCTACCAAGATTAGTCAACCTCAGTACCATTCCCCGAAAACAAACCAGTGCAACCCATGAATCTCCTAAAATTTCCTGTTGTGGTACCACACAAAAAGGGAAGTTGTAGTAAAATTTGTTTTTCAGTTTTAGCACCACTTGAAAATAAATCCCCTAGGAAAGCCCAAGACTGATGGCCTTTTTCATTCATAATCCTAGATACTACTGTGAAGATGACCCTAAATTACCTTTCCTCCTAATAGCCTCGCAAATACTCTTCACCATACACTCTTGGGAGGGTAACTCCTGTAGCCCCCAAAACCTTCCCCTGTGATTAAATATTATTTCCCTAACATAATAACCTTAGGGTATAAGGTTCCATCAGAAAGGCCTATACGGCAATGATTGCGTAACTAGAAAGGTTTCATAAGAGCCACCTTAAATGGTCTCAACCCCTATAACTTAATACCAGTTTTTTTTAACGTTTGAAAAGATGACTCCTATTTGTTCCATAACGACAGAATACAAGGGACTGCTTTCCCATAATCAATAGTTGTAGGGGGAAAGGGCAAGAGGAAAGGAAAAGAAAACCAATATTTATTAAGTACCTATTTGCCAGGTATGGCTAGGTGCTTCCATGTGTCACCTCTTCATCCTCACAACAACCCTGTGAGGTAGGTAGTGTTATCTCCATTTTTTTACAGATGAGGAAATAGGCTCAGAGAAATTAACATCTTTCCCGAGTTCTCAGAGTGAGTGAGTAGCTCTGCCTGACTCTCAGATTCACCCCTTTCCTAGCATGCCACCGACAACGGAAGGATTTCCTGTAGGATTGAGAGTTCCCCCAACACCAGGGTGCAGGGAAAAGTAACTGACAGGGCGTTTGTTTCGACCTGCTGCTTCTTCAGAAAGGAACGACTTTCACAGCCAGGAATTACGTATGGAACTTTACCAAGGGATCCTGGTGACTAGAAAACTGCTGGAAGGTGGTCACAGCAGAAACTGTTGGGGAAGTTCTTAGCATAACAGAAGAGAAATTTTCATTTCCTTCATGATCCCCTCAGGGAAAAATAAATGGCAAAATGAACCAGCGTATGTCAGATTCTGTAATAAATGCCAGTGAGCTCACAGTGTCAGGAAATTTCAGCCTGAATTAGAGTCATCCTTGCGCTTAAAATTTTCTTCTTTGATGTATGGGAAGGAAAGGCTGCAGGGCAAAGGCAAAGGGAACGGCAAAATAAATTAACAAGATGGCTGCCAAAGTTTACTGCCTTCCCCACCCGATACGGGCGCCTTTCCTTTTTCCACCGGGCTCACACTGCCATCTACTGGCAATTCTTAGGGACTGCTAGGAGATCTCCGGTGTTTAGAGTTTTTCCCCCATGAATGGGATTCCACCGTTATTTTATTTTAAAAGGAAAGAGAGTGGAGACTCTGTTTTGCAATCACAAAAGACTGCCCTGGGTGTATATAGTATCTAAGGAATTTTCTCAATGTAATAGGTGCTACACTAGAGTAAGTCTAGTGGTGGGAAGACAGAAACCTGGAAATTGTCCTGGATGTAAAAGGGGAGAGCAATTTCATTGAATACTTTTTTTCAACTAGAGCTTCTTTCACAACCTGCACATTTTCGACAGTCTGCAGGGAACCCCCATGGCGGCGTTTGGCTGCAACAGACCGAACCCTCAGCAGTCAGAGCCATGAACATACTCTCCAGTATATTTTTCACACCACTCTATAGTGCTTTCCCACATGTAACTGCTCTGTAAAAATACAACGTACTGGGTCGAATTAGACTATGAACTCCATGAAGACAGTGACTTCACATCCTCTCCGTGGGGCCTGGAGAACATCAGGTATTCAACTATGATGCACTGAATTGAACTGAAGGAGTCAGTGTTGATATCAGTATAACTTTTATAATAAAAATTATTTATTGGCTGTTCAAAGGGGAAGCTATCCCACTCCCGCCGGGCCATCTTCCCCTTCGATGCTCAATGAGCCAGGGGTTTGTTCAGATGCAGACCACACCACCCTCTCGGTCCTGCCTCAACCCTGCAATGCGGCCTGATTCAGCTGAGGGAAGTGGGTGGACAAGTAGTCCCGGATGGATTTCCTGTCCAGCTTGCAATTATTCCCCCTCCCTTGAAAATATCACCACCAATACCAACCAAGACCGTCCTTACAGTGTCAATCAGAGACCCGCTGAGCCCCTCTCCTGTGCCCTCTCTCCAACCCAGGGCTGCAGGTAGGAGAGAGATTTAAGTCTTTGTCACTGAAGCTAATTTTGAGAGCGATGAATGGGAGTAGGGAGGTGTTTACTGGACTGTGGAAACCCCACCTGACCCATTCCCAACATTAGTCTCTGTACCCGATTGTCCAGGGGGCTGGAGGTGGGCCACTGCCATGAGGCGAGAAACCAAGGAGGCCAGTCCTAGAAAACAAAAAAGATTTACAGTGTTACTGGTGAGAGCGGTTACCTGGCCTCTCTGGATCCAACCACCTTAGCAATTCAAGCGCTGAGCCCCACCTTCAGCCATCCAACGCCCAATCTTTCCACTTCTCCATCCCAAAGGGCAACGAGAAAGGGCCATCCTGTCTTGTTCTTGCCTCTGCTGAGATAAAGCCCCAGGCCTGATGACGCGCATGCCGGAGAGGGACAGAGCAATAGCACAGAAGCGCCGTCCCTGGAGGGTGGGAGAGAGGCAGCTGCAGCCAGCCCTGCTGCTGCCTCCTCTGTGTGCTGTGGTTGCCACTTCCCATTGCTCCTGGCCCCACGCGGGAAAGGACTCTATCCGGCTGGTCCTCTCACTTTAAGGAAACCTCAGGTCTAAAACTAGAACAAGGCCTATTTACTCAAATTGAAACACTTGGCTGTAATAGTTCTTTTTAAATCCTGCAAGGAGACGAGAAGACACAGGTCATTTTCTCACCTTGATTGGGTGAAATTACTGCCCTGGACAATGACACTAAAAAAGGAAACGTCCTAAAGGGTCCCCAGAACAACGCCAAACCCGGCCTGCTGTCCTACATCCTCCAACCCCTACCCTAGAGTCCCCTGCCTCCCGAGGCGCGGGAAGTTTGCTGGTTCCAAGGCCCAGACCATCTCACCTTTGTGGCCCTTTACTCTCATCGCCGTCTCACCAGGCTCCCTCCCCCAGTAGTCAAGGGTCACAGCCATGTCCAAGGCTTTTGCCACATGTCCATCCCGTTGGCTCTGTTACTGACCCAGGAAACACCAAGCGAAAGCTGTGCGCAGAGACCCCAGCCCTGGCTGGCTGGGGAAAGGCGACCCCACAAGGCGCTCCTTGCGGTCGTAGCCGGCCCCCCAGCCCCGTCTCCCGTCTCCCGTCAGGCGTCCAGCCCAGCAGCCCATCACGATTCAGGTCGTGGTGAGGGGGCAGGACGGAGGTAGCTGTCTGACATGATGATGTCGCTGGTGAGTTGTTGCTCCAGGAACTCCGAGGTCTCCTCAGCTATCTGGCCTGGAATTCGGAAGTCTACGGCAGCTGGCTCCTGCTTGGGGCTGGGGAGGGGTCGGGAAACCCAGGACTCCGTGGAACAGCCAGTGCCCTGAAGGAACTGCAGAAAGTTCTCCTCGATGGAGCCCTCCCGGCTGGGCAGCCTCAGCTCCTCCTCTGGGGCCTGCTTGAAGAAGCAGACAAACTGCTTGCTGAGCTCCCCCCGGATCTGCCTATTGAGACATCCATAGAAGAAAGGGTTGGAAGTGAAGCAGAAGTAGCCGATCCAAGTCACCACATTCTCCACCTGCCCGGTCGAAATGGGCTGAGCGCTCAGGGCAACGTAGAGGTGGAAAGAAAAGTAGGGCAACCAACAGAGCAGGAACTGCCCCCCCACGGCCAGGAGGACCACCGCCGCCTTCCCGCCCCCAAACGTCCGGTGCGGGGTGGTCTGGTGGGCCCCCGAGCTGGTGACCATAGTGGAGCGGCTGCTGAGAGACTCAGAGCGCTGCCGGGGCGTCTCCATCCACGTGGGCAGCGGTCCGTGCTGCATGGCAGCCACGCGGGCTACGCGGAACATGCTGCAGTAGACCACAAGGATGAGCAGCAGGGGCAGCAGGAAGTAGAGGACGGCAAAGACCACCACGAAAAGCTGGCAGTAGGCACTGCGGCTCCATTGGAGTGAGCAACCCGGGGGGATGCTGGGAGCTCCCTCCTCCCGGGAGACCCTTCCCAGCACTGGCACAGAAGCCATGGCCAAGGCCTTCACCCACACGCCCACCAGCACGGAGGTCACCAGCCCCAGCGTCATGCGCAC